GTTTGTTTGTCAAAAAATAAAAGGGTTTAATTTTCATTTGATTTAAAATAAATGTTTAATGCCTTCATTTGATTTTTAGAAAAATTAAAACAAGAATTTCTGGAAAAAAAAAAAAAAAGAAATAAAGAAAAAGTTTGTAGGGCCCTATTGTTCAAAATGTTGAAATTGAGACTTTTGGACTTATTTTTTCACTGAAATAAATGTGTTTGTAATTACACAGAGAGTAAAGTACCGAAAAAAGGTACCGTTGGGTACCGGCACCGAAATTCAGGTACCGATACCTTAATTTGTGTTCTGAAGATCAACGAAGGTCTTACGGGTTTGGAACGACATGAGGGTGAGTAATTAATGACAGAATGTTTATTTTTGGGTGAACTATCCCTTTAATTACATTTGTTCTCAGTAACTGTAACTGATTACAGTTACATTTATTTTGTAATTAAATGACGTAATTCCATTACATGTAACTATTTACTCCCCAAAACTGATTATAACAACATTATTTAGTGTTTCCGCAGTCATAGTAAAACTGGAACGATAAAGGGGGTTTAAAACTACATTTTCCAAATTAATGAATGTTAACATTTCTATATCTATATCTTCGTTTTATGCTCAACTAGAAATTGCTCTTTGTAAATGCATTCACTACAAAATTTTGTTGATTTGAGTTCATGTGTGGTTATTTAGGGGCCGTTTTAAAACAAATAAAGGAGCCATTTGATATGTCCCACCCTAGCTTCCTGTTGCAGTAGGAAATATGTCCACACAGAAAGGAAAACTGCACTTGCCAAGACATTTCATGGAGGGATCCAGTTACACCAGGACATAAATAGTGTTATTTCTGAAACCTATTTTCCTTTAAATGTGCACAAATACATTTCTTCTTGGGATAAGCTTGTTATTGAAGGGAATTTGCATCTTTAAGATGCTTATAATGCATGTGTTATATCAATAAAGTTATTGAATGATCCTTGTACACTCATATTAATTGTCATTGAGCTCTTTTGTGGGAAACCGGTTTATTTCCTTTTTCTTCCTATCCAGTAGTATTCTCAGTCTGTAACCAAAACAAACCAAAAATAAAGTACTTTTCTGTTGAAACAGGTTCTCATATCATGACTAAAATCATAGATAAGATTTGACAGTCAATGGAAAGAACGGCAGCACAAGTGTAGAATGATTTTCTTGCTAGAAATGGCTGAAATGCATGTTGTAAACTTGATTAACTGATTTTTGCCTTACAGGTTTTGGAAGGAAAGACGTGGTGGAACATCTCTTGCAGATGGGGGCAAATGTGCATACACGAGACGATGGGGGATTGATCCCGCTGCACAACGCCTGTTCCTTCGGTCACGCCGAGGTGGTCAGCTTGTTGCTTTGTCAAGGAGCCGATCCCAATGCCAGAGACAACTGGAATTACACTCCGCTCCATGAAGCCGCCATCAAGGGCAAAACTGACGTATGCATCGGTAAGTTCCTCTTCTTCTGTCTCTTCTACAATGATGTATATCATCTGAAAAGTTGGCTTGTGCAACCTCAAACGTGTGTCTCGAGTTGGAAGTGTTGGTTTGGATTCGGATGGGGAGCGTGTCAGTTTTGTAGATTGAGGAGACGAATGGTACAATCTCACCTTAGTGAATTCTGAAGATGTATGACTTTAATTTTTCCTGTGTTTTGCCTGAGGAACAGTTCTCAATAAGGGTTAATCATGTGGCATTCTTCTTGATTAGCCGCGGTGACTGACGCTATTACACAGCGCTCAGTCATTAATCAGATCTTTACTGCTTGGTATTCATGAGAAATTTAACATTGCATCTGAGGGTTGAAGAGGGCCAATAATGTGGCGATGGAATGCCGTTCAACATTTCAATTCTCTGTTTCATGCATCACAATGCGCAGATCATGAAATAATCTGCTTGATGTGCTTCCCACTCTGTGTTTTACGTAATTAGGCTGCAGATTTGTGTCCAAGTTTGTTTCTAAAGTGAAAAGTGTGTTTTGAATTGCGATTGTATGTTTTTTTTTTTTAGTTATCTGAATTTGCTGAAAAAGTAGTCTACTGCTCATGGCAATCTTATCCAGAGTGCCACTTGCTAAATTTTTAGCATAATCCAATTAAATGGGGGGGGAAATTCCAATTTAAAAACTTTGAGATAAGAATTATCCGCACAATCTAAGGGAGAATTCAGAGGCCTGAGGACATGCGTGTAATTTCACATCTCTCAATCTGAAAAGATTGAAATAGATGTTCTCTGGCTTTTATGTTTGCACTTGTTAATCAGAAAAATTATTTTGCAGAGCTTTAGACAGGCTGAGTCATTCCATGTACAA